CTAGCGCCAGCCACCGGTAGAAGGGACGGGACGGGAAGCGAAGAGGGTCATAATTCCCCAGCGGCGACCGCGACGCTACTAGTAGGCGGAGCCTGAGGTTCCACCCCCACAAGCGCGCAGGGACCCGTCTCCTCCCGCTCGGCCTGCGCGTGCGCGGCTGCTGGGCGCACCCTGCCCCCGCCAAACACAACGAGGGACGCGGTTGCGTGCACAGCGCTCCTTTATTCGCGTCGCCGCCGCTGGGCCGGGAGGCGGAGGTTTAGGCTGCAGGGGCCGGCCCGAGCAGCTGTGCCCTCGGGAGTAGACGGGCTGGTCTGGGCCGAGTGCGCAGGGCCCCGCGGGGTTTTTCCAGCCTCCCCTTGGTGACGCTGCAGCAGGAGCCGAAGCCTGAAGGGCGCGAGTGCCAGTCGCAGCTCGCCTCCTTCGAGTCGGGCCAGTCGCGGCTGGTGCTGCCGCCCTGTGGAAAGAGCAGGGCTGTCAGGGGACGCGCAGCTCCACCCGCCCTCAGGATCTCAAGGGACAAGTGAGCCCTGGGGTGGGGGCTGAGGGCAGGAGCCAGGGCTGCTGGGGGCCCCGGTCCTCAGGATGACAGCAGGGGAACATAGGCAGGCCCCATAGCAGAGACCCTGGCAGGTGCTGGGACAGAGGGGGCATTGTCAGCACTTGCAGGGACCCAGTGAGCTGCCCCAGATCTGCTGGGCCAAAAGCACAAGTGTGCATGGCTTTGTGCTCACCAAGGGCACCTCATAACGATGCCAGCAGCCGGGTCATAAGACAACCCCAGTGTTGGCCTGAGAATTGCAGAAAGTGAGGGTTGGAAGGGACCACAGGAGGTCACATCTAGTTTAACCCCCTGCTCACAGCAGAACTATCCCCAACCAGGTCATCCTAGCCAAGGCTTTGTCTAGCCTTCCTTCAGCTTTGTACTGTCTTGCACTGTGGAAAGTTACAGCTGCAGAAAGTCCTTGCTGGCATTTCAAAAGTCCTCCAAAACAGTTATCGTTTGGGCATAGTTCCAGCCCAGAGGGCACTGCCAGCACAGTGAGAGCTGATACATATGCTGATCCTATTCCCCAGCTGCAGGTCTGCATGCACGCGTCCTGCCAGGTAATAGAAATGCATTGGCTAGCTAGATTTTTCAGGGCAGTTCTTACCAACGCCATCTGTGCTTTTTAAATGTCATCCTGAAAAGAGACAGAAATACAAGTGGTGAATTTGGGAAGACAAAACGTTTCCCGTACTACAGAATGGAACAAAAGAATATTTATATGGCATGTTGACACTCAGACAAGTGAGAAATGCTGAAGCTCTCCAATTTTTGCAAGACCGTCAAATGTACGTTGGACCTGAAGCACGAAAAGAAACCGTAATGGACAGGCTTCAGTCACTTGCTTCAGGGTGCAAACTAATGGCTGCCAGATCAGAAAGGACTTCCCTCCATCCTGCCCCACTGAGCAGCACTGCCTGTCTGGTCAGGTGCATAAGTGACGGTTTTAACTTTCCTCCGTAGCATCAGACATGGGCCACTGGCACTAGCAGGGTGCCACCCTAGGTGGACCTGCCACCTGCTCAGGCTCAAGAAGCGTGACAAAGCCTGCCTACCC